TTAATGCTTTAGTCAGCCATGAATCAATTCTCTGTATTCCTAGTAATTATTGCTCATTTGCTGTTTACAAACTGATGTAGCTGTATTAAGCTGATGTGCTGCAGGTGTTTGGCAGACTGGGATTTTGACTAGGTTTCCGGTCTGGCAGAGGGCTGGTTTCCTTCAGGGGCGTTTCTGTGGCCAGTACGCTGTCATTAGGGGTGAGTCCGGGCACTGAGAGTTACCTCGTTGTACCTGAACAGACTTTCAAGCCACTCTTGCATTCTTGTTGAATTGGTGTTCACTCAACAGCCTTCAGGGTAGGAATTCATACCTAGCGCAGTTTCTGATCTCTGTGGGGTGGCTCAGGAGGTAGCTTCCAAGTGCAGAGCAGCTGCAGATCCTTCTTTGCTAGCAGATGCGTGGAGGTGCCATCTGACAGCACTTCAGCCTCTGCGGTTTAACCCCATCCGGAGGCTCCCATGTGAGGTTTGCTTCTGCATGAGCTCCGGGGGCCCCCGTCCTTGTTTTCTGGGCAAAAGATGGGGGGAAAAAGCACCTTGGCCAGCATATGCTGCTTCAAGGGCAGATGCTGGGCATGACTGTCCTCACCTGGCTACCAGCTACTTGTTCCAAGTACGCTGGCAAGGATGAAAGGGAGACCTAGCTGGACTGAGCGCCACAAGCAGGCAGAGCCACAAATCGCTTGTGCAGGGTGACTGCAAGGAAGCTTCTGCTGGGGCAGCAGGGAAAGCATCGGCTTGCCATCAGCCTGGGACTGGCGTGGCTTCTCTAGAACAGCAGGCAGCTGCCAGTGAAGTTGGTACAGGCTAAAAGCAACTCCTCAGCCACTGTAGTATTCCTTTCCCTGTGCCCTATTGTAGCTGCAAGTGGGAGATGCAGAAAAGAGTTTGCCTTCTTTCCTGCCCAGCTGTGCAGTAGATGGTGGTCTATGGGTCTGGGACGGAGCCCATAGCAAGAGAAGAAAGCCCTAAATTCACTGCCCAGGGGACATTTCTGTGACATTGGGTGAAGCAGGAAGAGGTGGGGAGAGACAGACCAGCAGCGCAGGGGAGAGCAGACTGACAGGAGCCTGGGATGGACGTAAAGGAAGATGAAGCAAAGGTCAAACCCAAGGATTATGCAGAGTCCACGTGTGGTGGTGTTTCAACCTGTGTTACACACGCAAGGCGGGTACATCGGTGTTAAGGGATTGAGAGCGGCTATTGTAGAGGGCCAGCCGAACACCTTCCTCGGTGCTTACTCAGCAGCCGGAGCTGCTTGCGTGGCGTCTGTCCCGGCGGCTCCGTTGCATCTCTTCCCACTGGGCAAACCCAGCCCTGTCCGTCGGTCTCATGCCAGGCTCTCACACCCCTGCTGGGTGGAGCACAACCCATCACCGCCGCTCAGCTCGGTGATTCACAGATGCCAGCAAGCACATGGCACATGTTTGGGACTGGATCAATGTATGTTTCATCTTAAACGACTGTCCTAATTATTACAGGCTGAAGATGTAGATAAATATTTTGGGGAGGTGGGAGGAAAGTGTTTTAAGGCACCACCCATTGCAGGGCATGTTTGACACATGCAGTAGCT